TGAGGTCCAGCCGAAATTTGCCAAAAACCACGAACTGTATGAGGTCCGAAGGCTGGAAGGGCCGAAAGCTGGAACCCGAAATTTGCCAAAACGACGAACTGTATGAGGTCCAGCCGAAATTTGCCGAAAACGACGAACTGCATGAGGTCCGAAGGCTAGAAGGGCCGAAAGCTGGAACCTGAAATTTGCCAAAACGACGAACTGTGTGAGGTCCAGCCGAAATTTGCCAAAAACCACGAACTGCATGAGGTCCGAAGGCTGGAAGGGCCGAAAGCTGGAACCCGAAAGTTGCCAAAACGACGAACTATATTAAAGTTTAAATACCATATGATAAAGAGGTTTAGGGTTTAGGGTTCAAGGTTTAGGGTTTAGGGCTTACGGTTTCGGGACCGGCCTACCTTATAATTATAGGATTTAGGGTTGAGTCCGGCCTTTCATTGAGTCTTGGAGCTGTGGGGAATTGAGAACGATGGACTTATGGGAACCCGGATTCAGAACTTGATGGTTTAATGTAGGGGCCTTAATAATCTTACTCAGGTTTTGGGGTCTGTTATACTATAATCATAATAAGGAACCCCAAATTACAGTATAATCATAATAAGGAACCCCCCAAATTATGCTATAGTCTTAATAAGGAGCCCCCCCAACATAGTATTAGGTGATTTTATTTAAGGCCCTCTGTTAGGGCCGACGGGGCTTGAAGGCGTAGCAGTGCAGGGCTCCACTCAAGCCGACGGCTTGCTTTGGTGCTCTGGAGTGTTTAGGGTTTAGGGGCCTTAGTAATTAGAAAAGGGTTTTTTGCGGGTTCCTTATTATGCTTATAGTATAATGGGCCCCAAAACCCCATTCTAATTATAGTATAATGGGCCCCAAAACCCCATTCTAATTATAGTATAATGGGCCCAAAACCGCATTCTAATTATAGCATAATGGGCCCCAAAACCCCATTCTACTTATTAAGGCCCCTACATCAGGGCCTGCCATGTTTGCTGTGATTGCGACTTCTTGGAAGATCATGGGGTGACTGGGGCTGTAAGCACGTGTAAATACGGTTTAGGGTGCAGGGTTTTAGAGTTTAGGGTTTTGGGGTTTTGGGCTTAGGGTTTTTAGGTTTTAGCGTTTTTAGGGTTTAGGGAAAAGGGTTTAGCGTTTTTAGGGTTTAGGGTTTAGGGTCCGTGTAAAAATTACGCAGTTCCGCAATCCTCCAAGCAGAGCCTCGTGGGTTCAGGCACTTAGTCATGTCAGGGGCACCGGGCACGGGGCCAGATGCCAGCGAACCGTGAATCTTGTAGGAGTTAGGCTTAGGGGGACGTTTGGAGATATAGACCCTCTGAATACGGTCCCCTCTACAAGAGCCATATGTTGGGTTAGGAAGGGCCCCTTTTTCGGGGTCTCCTGAATACTACCTAGGATCTTGCTGATTCTAACACCAGGGACCAGCGCTCTGAAAACCTCATGGCACCCTCTAGGAAAACCGAACAAACCCTCAACACTCAGGCCCTGTACCCTGGGTCCTGCAAGCAGCACACCACTCCAGCCAAGCGGCCATTTCACGTCTTTTCCTTTCTTCTGGAGTGCTGCCTCAAACGGCTGCAACAACTTCCTAGACAAGGAATTGGCAACATATGCTTGCATGTTGAAATGCTCGATGGTGGCTGATGATGGTAGTTCACGCAATCCGATTCAGTCTTCTCATGTTGGTGTTCTACTGCTGCTGCTGCTGCTGCTGCTGCTGCTGCTGCAGCTGCTGCCGCGGCCAAGACGGTACGTGGGGTAGCACTGCAAAGTGTCATGATCCCAGCGCTTGTAAAACCTTCGTCAATTTCTTACCATCCCCTTTATCTGCACCCCACCGGCCTTCTTGTCCAGCCAGGCCGTTGCCAGGGCGTTCCGCTTCTGCCAGATGGCGGCCTGCTCCGCTTCCTCAGTGTCAGGGCTCCTCGGGGTTCCAGGGACCTCGGACTCCTAGGAGTGCTACCACTAGGGCTTCGTAGGGTGGTGGGGTCTAGGGCATTGCGCTGTCCATATTGTAATTACTACTAGTAAGGCCCCTATATGCGCTGTCCATATTCTAATTATTACTAGTAAGGCCCCTATATCAGCTACTCGAAGTGTGACCTGAGCAAGTCTGTGGTCTCTGCATCTTCAGCCCTGCACCTCTCGGGCTTAGAGGTGCTTGGCCCTAAGGGTCCAAGTAGTCCTTATTTAAGGGTTTCTGGTTACCCAAAATGGACCCAAAGTCCCATTATAGAGAGTACTTGGACCCTTAGGGTAGGGCCCTGGGCAGCAAGAGCAGATTCAATCGAACCCCACAAGAAAAACTCTGCGAAGGAAAGAGTTTTGAGGCTTGTGGCCAGCCTCTTCATGATGTTTTCATGCCACAGGGTTTAGGGTCTAGGGCTACAGGGTCACATCGATGGGTCAGAAGCGGAAGGGTTAGAGGTCATTAAAATCTAGGGATGAAGGACCAGTAACCAGTGTGGCTTTGACCTCTGTAGTCTGCCAGGGACATGACGAATTCACGGGCGGATGAACAATTTTGGGCTGGGATTCAGCGCTTACATCCTGAACCCAATGAGTGTTGCCTGATTCAGGGGCCTTCATAACTTGAATCGGGTTTTGGGCTCCTGTATAGATTTAAGTATAATAAGGAACCCTAGGGAATTATGTTTGTAATTGTTTATTCTACAGCATGCAAGGACAACGGACGAAACGGAAGGCCCGCCACGTGTAGGCCCTGAAACCCAACCCCTGACCAAATCCCCCTCAATGCATCATTTTGCACACCACACAACCACAAAGACCTCCCGAAACCTCAGTCCAATCCAAGCGACTTTGGACAACGCCTGCTTCTTCGCCATCAAGCCTGGTCGCTGCCCCCCAATCCCAAAAAAAACCTACACCCTATAGACCTCGCCCCAAACCCTCTAAACCCAAAAGCACCAAAAACACATGAGCATAGCATAGCGTAGTCTAGGATAGAATGGTTTAGTATTAGTATAGTAGCAGTATAGTATTAGTATAATATTAGTATAGTATTGGTATTGTATTAGTATAGTATTAGTACAGTATTAGTGTAGCATTAGTATTAATAGTAGCATGAGTACTAATATTAATGAGTATTTGTAGTATAGCATTGGTATTCGTATTCGTATCAGCATTAGCATAAGCTTTTATATTCGTATTCGTGTCACTACAGTATCGGAAAGTACAGTATAGTATAGTAATTACAGTAATTACAGTTGTAAAATATAGCAAAGTCTATTCTGCTGTAACCTAAGACTCAGAGGTTGGATGTCTAAGTCCCCCGGAACTCCAACACCGCAACGGATCTCACCCCCTAGGTCAAAGTCGAAACCTTGCACTATTGGGCAGTATACCGAATCGCATTACATTTAGTTTTCCTACCCTAAACCCTGAATCCGAGACCCTATCCCAAAGCGCTAAACCCTATAAGCCCTAAACCGTAAAGCCTGGAAACCAGTCTGGAGGGTCCAAGCGCCGCCGAAAACGTGCACAGACTCCATGCCCTAAATTCGCCCTGCAGCCCCATAGCCGAAGAGGGTTTAGGGTTTAATTAGGGCTTAGGGTTTAGGGTTTTTGGAAGATCCACTGACCGAACCCACCCCAAACCCTAAGGCTTTGGGGTTGGAGGTGTAACGTCTAGGGGTCTATCACCAAGCATACCAACAAAAAACCTGCACAGTCTTGAAGAAGTCCGAAAAAATAACATACTGTGGTAATAGCATTCAAAAGGCTACAAGTGCTTCTCACAATTTTCGAACCCTCTGCATGCCCCAACAGCCCGCGCCAAACAAATCCCAAGCTAGACCCCATATGACCCCATGAATTCCCCAAACCCTAAACTCCACACGCCCCGAGGCCCGCCACACCCTACCCCCACTCCTAAAAGACACGCCACCAAAAGCTAAACCCTAAACCCAAAAATCCTAAACCCTGGACCCTAAAACTTAAACATCTTAAACCTTAAGCCCTAAACCCAAAGCCCTAAAGCCTTAGACCC